AACGACATCTCGAAAAGTTGATTCAAAGACCGGTTGCAGCGAAACCAGAATTTAGCCGTAGGTAAGGTCTGTCCGCGGTTTCGCATGCTACCTACGACTGGTTTGCCCCTTCGCGACATTAATTTAAGCTTCTACAAAGTGAAGTCGCGGACGAACGGCCGGCGAACGAAGTAGCACTTCGGCTCGGACTCGATCCGGCTCTTCGCCGCGGCGGAGATTACCGTACCTATTGATTACATTGAGCGCGCTTAATAGCCGCGAGTGATTCCGTCCGCGTGCAACGAGCAAACTAACGCCGCCGCAGCCGGTCGTAATCACCGCTTGCATCTCGGTATATATCATTACACAGAACTTACGTACTCGCGCGCAGAATTCTCCTCGATCCTACCGATCATCTTCCGGCCGGCCGATCCCAGGCGCGAGACAGATCGTCAAACCGGGAGCCGAACTTGTCGCGAACTTGTTCGGAAGCAAAGAAATAACACGGTCGAGACAATGCAACGCGCTAATGCGCGGGCAACGTTTGATAGACGTGAGAGCTAACCCAGATCTTGATTTAGGCCCCCCGAACGGTTTCATCATCGCGCAGTTAGCGATGATCAGCGAATAGCTGATTCGTCAATTTATCTGGGCATATTTTTGAAGGTACAAGCCTCCCTAATTGACGCTCAGATTGTACACAAACATGGACAATTTGGGAAGAGGGGATACGATTGATCGAGTGGCTTGTTTTTTATGGTTATCGATTGTCAACAACTATGATATGTAGTAAATTCTCCCTAATTCGCGCTCACATTGTATTCAAAAATGGACGATTTGGGAAGAGGAGTGCATTTTTGTGCGCAATTTACTGTAATCGTATGATATAATCGCGTCTTCTCTTCCCAAATTGTCCATCTTTGTACGCAATCTAAGCACGAATTAGGGAGAATTTAGTGTACAATAATTTCTCCCTAATTCGCGCTCAGATTGCGCACAAAAATGGACAAATTTTGGAAGAGAAGATACGATTATTCGAGGCTTGCAATTCGGTTTTATAGTTATCGATTGTCAACAACTATAAAAACAAGCCGCAAGATGCGAATAATCGTTGATAAGAATAATACGAGTTGCAAGGCTCGAATAATCGTATCTCCTCTTCCCAAATCGTCCATTTTTGTGCACAATTTGGGCGTCAATTAGGGAGACATTACTGTACTCGGGATTTGTTCCATTTTGCTCTTCTCACAACGATTAAACGAACTTCGATTTAATTAGCGTCGGCAAAAGGTCTCGAATTTTTCCAGACTTCCGGTAGCTAGATGATTGCATCGAAAGGTTAACCCTTTGCACTCGAGTGGTGACCCTGAGGCACCGCTAAAATTGTTCTATCACGTTCTAAGATCATTTTTATATCGTCGAAGCTTAAATTTTAAAGATTATTAAAAGTGTAACTGTTGTACGAATCGCAAGACTCAATTTCGTATGCATAAAATGCACTTTGTCCTGCAAAATGAAAATTGTACTATAAGTCGGAAAAATTATCTTAGACTTACAGTTAAAATGGCTTCGAGTGCAAAGGGTTAACAGTCATCCGAAAATGAAAGATCATCAATCGAGATACACTCTTTAATCGATCTTCGAGTCAACGATGCCTCGTCATAACCTTGACATGTTCTATCGTTTCTATCAAGTTTCGCTGCTCGATGAAAATAATGAAGCTGCATCGAATGCACTGCGCGATGCACAACAGAAGGTTCGCGTAAAAGCGCAACGGGCGAGCTCGCAGATCGTCGACAAAGAGTTGCAAGAACGAACGACGATTCTCCGTCGTGTGAAATTGTGCTCTAAAAACGTTCCGGCGTCTGTTCCGAAGCTTCGGGGACTTTTATCAATGAGTCGGTTTTGTCGTGGCGGCCCATGTGTCAGCAACCGTAGCCTAAGTCCGACGCGTTTAGGTTCCGTGCAGGAACCTCGCCGGCCAGACCCGTACGCGAGTTAATTTTACGAAAGCGTCTAGCGTGTCTGGAAGTTCTCACTGGCGCGGAAGCTACGGGAGACGCTGTGGAAGAAGACGATGACGAAGAAGTAGAAGAAGAAGAAGAAGAAGAAGTAGGCAGAGCGAGGCCGGGCGTCGAGTGGCAGCGGCTCGAAAATCGCGAGGACGCTCGAGGCTGGAGAGCAAAAGGGAACCGGAGAAGCTGGTCCGACGACTGAAACAGTGGAACAATGAAAAGGAGCCGGCGGTGGACGGGCCAGATGAAGAGATCACGGCGAGAGAGCCGGACTGGATCGGGGACAGAAGCGAGCCAGGAAAAGGGAGGCAGAGGAGAGAGAAACGAGAAAAGGGTCGGCGCGTCGCGCTCGTAAAACGCTATTCGAGTACGCGATCTCAAAGTAAGGGATTCCTGTTGCGCTTTAAACCCTAATTAACGTTACCGATCGTCGGGATTAATTGGCTTGTAAATGCCTTGCACAATTATTTAGCGATTATGACTGGAACCAGCATCTCTGTCTCTCTCTCTCTCTCTCTCTCTCTCTCTCTCTCTCTCGCGTTGGAAATGATTTTCTGTTTCATCGTCGGACCACAATGACGGTCTATCGTCTCCCAATACGATTAATTGCAGGTTAATTGATTGCACGGTAATTAAATACATTTTCTTTGTTTGCATAAATTGATTTCACTTATTCGAGCAACGACAGATAAGAATACGAGACCTACACATTTTTTTCTGTTTCTCCTAGCCGACCGGTCGACTATCGGCGGAGATAAAACAACAATTATTATTTTTTTTTCTTTCAAAGAATCTCTCGGCGTTCCCGAAGAAGTTTTTATCTCGTTTATCTACGATGAATTATGATCTTGTGAAAAAAACTGTTGCTCGAAGGTATGTTAGATTACGGAAGAATTTAACAACTCGATTGTATCGTTTGCGTAACCCATTGAAATCATTTTAGACGAGAACAAGTAACAATGCATTTACTGTTCTTTTGCGATCAATGCAGAAATTTTTATTTCGTACAACGGTTCGCAGTTCATTTATGAGCTATTTATTTGCGCGTTACTCGCGGCAAGTATCGGAACTCGGAATAAATGTGTTATTGTTGCTTTCATAAACTAATATAAAAAGATAATAATATTGTATAAACTAATAACTAAATAACTAAAGTGATATAAAATAATATAACTATATAATAACTAAAAATGCAAAATAAACTAATAATAATAACTATGTGAACTAGTAACTAAATAACTAAAATAATATAAAATTAAGTAACTAAATAATAACTAAATACAAAATAAATTAATAATAATAACTAAATAACTAAAAAAGATAAAATAAAACAACTAAATAATAACTGAATACAAAATAGACTAAAAATAACGAAATAAAATAATAAAACTAATATCAACTGATGAAACTTCGCGAGTAAAATTGCCCTCTGGAGCACAGTGCCGACCCCTTTGAGCGCAAGAGCAACGAAACCACGCCCACTCGCGGCACACCGCAAGCAAAAAAAAAGAAAACGACGACGCTTCCTCTCGCGTTCGATGCTCATTCGCGGGACACTGAATCAGTCTTGAAGCAACGCGGAATTAGTCCCCCAAAGGGCCATCTGGATGGCTCTAGGAACAAATTGCCGTCGTCCGTGTCTGTGTCAGTCGTTGAAACTCAGCCAGCTGCTGCGCGGCGACCCCAGAAAATTAGATAATTCCGATGTCACGCCCGCGGGACGATTATCGCGTCCGCGAGGTCGATAAGTTAAATCTTCCTCGAGCGCCAGAGGCTCGTTCCCTTCTGTTCTTTATGGCTCCGACCACGGGCGACTTATTAATTTCCTTTTAATCTTCCCGGCGCTATATTTAGTGGTCGGCCCTCTGGTAGCGCGCGGCGCTCGGGAACCACGGAGCACCGTCGAAGGCGTCGAGGTGTCCAATTATCCTCGGAGATGGATCGCTGAAAAACTGATACCTGTGATCAGCAATCTACGGGAACGGTTGTCGTGCTCTACGCTCTGTAATCCGATGGCCTGGGATTAGCACAAAGTGTTCGAACTAAACGTGGGAATGCGACAAGCTATACTTATCTCGAGCCGGCGGTCTTGCCGCGTATTCAACTAAACCGAGTGCCCGTGCAGCCTTGTTTCTTCCTCAATTAGGATCTGCGAGAGCCGATCGACGTCTAAGAGATCATAGAAGCGCAAGAAACGAGCTCGTTTCGCCCGGTTTCTAACACCTTTATTCGCCGGAAAGTATCGAACGGCGGATTCTAACTTTTCTGTTAAAGCTCGGACACTCAGAGTATATATATCGTTATATGACTACATTGTTTTTGAAAATTAATTTCGATTTGTCACATGTTTTATCAAGGTTTAGGGTAGTGGAGCTAGTTACCGTGGGCTGACCAATTGCTGTCTCTGCTTTGCTTTCGGGCATAATTGACTTTATATCGATCGAATAAGACGCATTAAATTTCTGTATTCTTTTACTTTGCTTGTTTTTTAATAAAAGAAACTTGTATAGGGTTAATTATGTCCAAAGACAGCAATTGGTCACTCCATACTAATCGGTTCCATTATCCTGTATGAAATGCAACGTGTCTAGAAGAAGTAGTTTAAAAGTTTAAAAATGTATAGGTTACTCTAATTATACTTTCTTAATACGAAGTTATATCCTTCTTAACCAGTTAGCTGTCTTCGACGATGTCGCGAAGAAATGGCGACATTTCGTGCTACGACGAGTATACTCGTCGCGAAGAAATAACAACATTTTGTGCTAAGACGAGTGTACTCGTCGCGAAGAAATCGCAGCATTTAACGTTGCGACGAGTATACTCGTCGTGACGCAATATTTCCTCGCGACGAGTATACTCGTCGAAAGCATCTAGCTGATTGAACAACAGTTTCAAAAGAATTGTACTTCGACCGTGGAACTCCTACGAACGCGTACGGAGAACCACGGTCACCGAAGAATCGATTTCGAGGATCAGAAGCAACACTGACCGCGTGTTCGGTTTCAGGCGAACGTGAGCCAAGCGGAGTACGAGAGAGCGCACAGAGAGTACCTGAAGAAAGTCCACCTGTCCTTCGACGAGGAGGCCACGAAAAGCAGGAGGAGTCTGCACGTGTTTCACGCCGCAGGTAAAGAAAAAGAAACATCTTGGTCGCGTGTTTGCACAATTTTCGCTACTTCCTCTCTCTTTCCCGCCTCTCTCTCTCTCTCTCTCTCTCTCTCTCTCTCGATCATCGATACGTTATTCTTAAGAGGGAACGCGAACGATCCTCAGAAACACGTAATTTTGCGGGCCGGCATTCTGGAAAAATATACACCGCGGCGGCCCGCTATAATTACTGGCCGCGTAAACACCCGGCGAATCCGACTGTTCCGATTCAAAGAACGCTGCTGGTTTTTTCGCCACGTGTACCTAACGAGCCGGTCTACGTGCCAATCCGAAGGAAACGCGCCGAGGATTGCTGATATTCTCGCGTTATCGAGACGATGCCTTAAAAAGATGACGGACGCTTCGCGAGGCGAGGGCAGTCTTTATGCATCCTCGCGTTTGTCGGCGATGATTTACAAAATTCGGGGAATCGTCGCAGAATTTCTGCTCTGCGCTGTCGAAATTCTTAACTAGGGTGATCTCTGCAACGAATGCACACCCTTCACAGCGAGTGAACATCTCCGATATTATACGGAAGAGCTAATAATCATCGCTAGACCGCGGATTTCATGCACTCGCTACGAAAACGAATAGATCAAATACAAAGTAGTAAAAACCATTTAAACAGTTAAAAAATATTTATAAATGATTAATATTATATGTATAATATTATTAATATTAACATTATAAATACTGCACTATTTTCAACCTAGTAAGATAATTAAAGAAAGAAAGAACTGTCTGTGCAGCTTCCGTGTCTTGCAAATAATGCGGACAAATTTTATTTTGCATAAAAATCCGCACATGAAAAATTTATACAGTAGTTCTATTGTATAGGTATCTCGCAGACGTCGTTTCGCAAAAATTCATTCATTTGATCAAGCGTTTATTCGTTGGTCGTCCGACGTATTTTTCACCAAATATTTTTCACGCAATTTCTTCGAAAATTTGTTCTACAAAAATTTCGGAGAATCAAAGGGTTATGTCAAAGTCATTTATTTATATATCCCTGCAAGCTTTTCTGTGTCACTTTCTGCAGCAGTTTCGTCGCGAGAGGCCTCAGTTCCGGTAACAATCGTTCCTTCCAGTCGCGTTTTTCCTGCGAAAAACGCAGCTTGCTCGATTTCTATCTTACGGATTCCAACGGCGACGGCAAAAATCCGGATTTTCGAGATCGCGGCTCGTTCTGTTCCTTTTTCCCGTAGAGTTTCGCGATGTCCGCGAGCGCACGCAACAGGGAAAAGTCGGAACGCGTGGAACTAGTTGGTCGAGTGGCTCTCCGGAGTCCGATCCTCGAGCCGAACGGAGCGGAGCGGCGCGACGCGGCACGTTTCGCGCGCGTAGACGAGTATTAAAAGAAAGGGTCTTTGGATACGTGACGTTTGACTGGGCGGAAAGGGCGCGAGTGGCTCGCGGTGAGCACCCTCGAACGAGCTCCTAACGGCTCTGCCCTCGGATACTACTTCTTCTCGCGCCGTCTCCAATTACGAGCGGCGCGTTTTGCATACGATTACGCGCGCAAAGAGACGACGATGGGTAACGTAACACGCCACGGCACCTCCGCAACGCACGTTTTGCAACTGTTCCGAGGATTTCACGCTTCAAAGTCGAATGACAATGTCGGGACCACCGGCTATTCCTGTCCCGGGCTTATCAATCACTGGACAGCTCTCGTATCGCTGATCTAATTAACTTTCACACGCCTGGCCGCTCTATCGGACTGTGCTCCTCGCTCGGGCACCGTTCTCGTTTCGAAAACAGTCGCCGGCCGAATGCCGTTGCACCGACGATTTCAACGCGAAAGATCCCTTCGTTTCCGGTTCTCTTAGTTTCCGAAAGAAACTAAAAATTTGGGTATGTTAATTATAGCTTATTAAAATTATTCAGGGGAAGAACAAGACTGCACTTGGCTGCTACATTTTGCAACTGATGCAGACGATTTTTATTTTTCGTAAAGATCTAAGATCTGATCGTCGGCGATCCGAGCAGGAATCGCACGGTGCAATGTTAAATTACAGTGTTAAAAAAGATGAAAAAGCAATTTTTCGTTGAAATAGTTATATTTGAATAGTATTGGTAGCTTCATCATATTTGTATTCGGTGAATTTAGTTCTCAATATTATTTTTGACATGAAATAGTTGATGAAATGCATCGGCGAGTAGTATAATAATTAAGAAATATATACAGTTTTTAATATATTCGAACGTAAATAAATAACAAGATAAACAACAATTAGTCTTAATTTTTTTAGTGTATTTCGCAGCAATTCGTTATTACTGTCAGATTCTGAAAAATAAAATATATTAGAGAGAATAGGCGGAGCTAATTGTAAAAAAAGGATGAAAAAATCGATTTTTTATCCTCTCTGAAAGTTGGAAAATGCGAATAATAGTATCTCATCCATAGCTCTAAATAAAATAACATTCAAATGCGTGTATAACAAGTAAAATAAAACAATTTCAATTTATTTACAGAAAGAAATAACTCGTGTATGCAACAAAATTTCATTTAGAAAACATTTATTATATGCAACGTATACATAATTGGCTTGCGTGTCTTTTCTCGACTTCTAATCTAATTTCTCGCCGGTTATTTGCGTTACTAACCGCTATTGTTATGTTACTCACCACTATTTGCGTTACTGAATTGGTGACCTATTCGAATGGAAGCAAACACGAGATTTTACAGAAGAATTTTTTTACTTTTGTGTGCCGAGCGGAACGAGGCACACCATCGAGGCACCTATTACGTCGTATTAGGTCGCGTTTTCTCGGTATTTCTAATTATTCACGAAGATAGAAACACAGAGTAAAATGTCGCGTCACGTGAAATCACGTGAAATCGTAGGAACGAACTCCGTCCGTGTGCGAACCGCGTGACGCGATCCTAAACCGTTTCCAACAGTTTCGGAATATTAGAAGTACAGAAGAGCATTCTCGCTCTTCGAACGTCACATGATTTTACGAGACTCCGCGTGATGCGGCATTAGCATGTTTGCGGATCCCGATGATTGAATGTATCCCGCTCGATTGCACGGTCAGCTGATAAAAAATTGACTGCGCTGCTACGCCAACGAGACTGGTACGAGCCTCGTGTTGACAACGAATTGTCAACGAGCTCGTTCAGTCATCGTCCTATATACATTTAAAAAAGAAATGCGTGTCTCAATCTTGTCGCTCGTGCGAAGCAACGCCAGTCAGTTATTTTCAGAACTCGCTAGGTTCAGTGGTGGGTTTCGATCTTGATTTGGTTTCTTGTTAACCGGCGCAACCCTTTGGTATACACGAGATAGCAACGCGGAGGATAATGAGCAAAGAATGTACCGAGTATCATAACTCGGTACTTAAGTGTCTTATGCTCTGTCGGAAGAAGCTGAAGACGCCGAAGTATGTAGTTTGCTCTGTTGCAGCAACGTTTCGCATTCGCGATGATGCTATTTAAGCAATTGTGTTCAGCGTTCGATGGGATTCCTGCGCGAGAATAGACTTTCTTCCGCTAGTCGAACGCGAGTCGAGTGCTTGAAAAAGGGCGCAGATTTCAGGGCTGTTCTAATCACCGTTCAACGTAAAGGAAAATAGCGGATCGTGCGTGCTGCAAGTCGTCTTCGCTCGGCAGACGTAAAATTAATTTGTCTCGGGATTGGCAGGTAGTCACGAAGGACGTTCGATGACCGGACAGTCTAGCAATCAGGCGGAAAAATTTCTGTTGCTCGCGTTCTGCGTTCGTGATAGCAAGGTTGCTAAGTGCTAACCCTTTGCAGCCGAGCGGTGACTCTGAGGCGCTTCTGAAATCGTTGCATCGCGTTCCAAGATCGTTTTTGTATTGTCGAAAAAAATTGTTGAATGTGCAACTGTCGTCACGAGATTTCAATTTCATGCGTGTAAAATGCACTTTGTGATATTAAATAGAGATACTGTAAGTCAGACGAATTATTTTAGGTTTACAGTTAAGATGGATTTTGAGTGCAAAGGGTTAATAGAACACAATCGATAATTGTTAATAGAACGAGAAAATGATCGTTTTTCGTATGTTTTTCGTTGTTACTATCGTTTAAAATTAGATTAGCAAAATAAGGAGATAAAATACAAAAGAATAACATAAAAGATAATAATATATATAATAAAATACAAAAGACACGACTAACTAAGAAATTGCATTATTTCTGAAACAATTCTAGAAGATCGAAATTAGTACATCGACATTATCCGATGTCTTTTTCACATTTCTACTGTTTCAAGCTACGCAGACTGTACCTCGTTTACTTCATGAACGCATAAAATCCGCGCGGTCTATCGATAACAGTAGAATGAAATGTTTCGTTTCAGTAGGAACGAGCAACGTTCGCGTCTAGTAAATTACGTATGAAATCTTCATCAGGTGCCTGACTGGTTGTTAAATCGCAATTTTCTTAGCGATCCAGGTGTTTTACCCTGACTGGTACATAAATCACGGGGGCCGAGTAAGTCACCGGCGAGTGGCGGCCGCATCGAGAAGCAAAAAGCTTTCGGTTTCATCGTCGGAGCGATCCGGAGAAGTATAGTGGTCGCGGAACTGGTCCGAAGTGCCACGGCGAACCGCTTTCCACCGTTCGCGGAAAGGAAAACGTGTTCCCGACGACGGCTATAAGTCGTCGTCGCAGCTCGGGCCGGGACGGGCCGTGCCGGGCCGGGCCGGGCCGGGCCGGGCCGGGCCGGGGCGCACTCTCGCATCACGGGCGTCCTCTTCTTGCAGCGTCTGCAGCGACCGCGTTATTATGAAATAGAAATTCCGACCGCGATGGAATGCCGAACGACGAGTTCCCGAACGCAATAAGAACGAATCGGCGAGGAAGCCGCGGCTCGGTCAGCTTCGATTTCCTTTTGTACATCGACGCGAGCCGCGTTCCTTCCACCGGGATTCCGCCGCGCGATTCGCTCCTCGGTCGCGTGCCGATTCCGTGGAAACCGGCCAAAAATACCGCGGGATTCCATCCGGGAAAA